TAATTTTTTTCCAGTTCTTAAAGGTAAGGTGCATTTTGTCGGTGATTTAAAAACACAAATATAAAAACAAGAGATTCAATAACAACAGAGTTTTGTTATGTTTTTAGTATTTTCATATACGTATTTGGTAGCAGATTTGAAAATTGAATCTCAATTTAAAAAGTTGCTAAAGGTGTTTAATAATATATTTGTAAACTATTGGTGGTTACCAACTAACATTTAGTTAAATTTAAAATGTTATTAATTAATTTATTAATATAAATGTTATAAATTTTGTAAAATAATTATTTTACAATATTATATAATTTAATTATATTTTACATCTGCAAAAGTGAGCATAKCTTAGTGGTAATTGACATATACTTCTAACCATAAGGTTTTGAAGACTGGACGTAGTCCCAAGATAAGGCGAACCAGTATAATCCCTGTAGTGTTAAGCTTTTCTATCTCTATCTCTTATTCATTTGTTATTGTTAGTTACTTATATGCTTTTAGCCTGTCGAACAGGAAAATCAAATAGTTCCTATGAAGAACTGGATCGATTTATCTATATATTTTTTTCCAACAATGTGTTATGGTTCGCTTTGGCTCCACAGAATCTGACGCCTACAACAAGCTTTGGGTAAAGAAATCTGGCGCATACAACAAGCTTTGGGTGTGATTTCATTCAAGAAGGTTGATAGATCGCGAATTCTACACTCATTCTATCACATGTTGGGCTTCTGAAGACCAACAATCGACTATTTGGGATTCTTTTATCCCTTGTTGGTTGGTGTTGTTCGGCAAATCAATGTGTTTTGAACTCTGTTTGTCTTTTATGGAGTTTTCTCCTATTCAACAAAAAAAAAATATTAATAATAATAAACAAACAAAAGTAGAGCACAAACAATGGAAAAAAAAATCAATTTCTCAAAACAAAATAGCAATTAACCAATAAATTTATCTTCACAAAATAAGAAAATGAAGCAGAATCATCAAAGAAACTCAATTAAAGACGTGAAACTAAAAAAAAAAAAGTGATTACCTTGTTGGAGATTGGAGAAACTGTGCTGGATATAGGGTAAAATCATGCTATAGACGGGACAAACAACGTTGGTCGGCCCAGGGTCGAGCACCCTAGAACGTCCTTGAGCTCGATGGTTCCTTGAAATCATGAGATATAAGAAATTCGAAAGAGAAAGATAACCGGAAACGTAAGGTTTTTCCTTATATATATATAGAAAAAGATCTCATAATCAAGGTACACTACAAAATCCTAACTCTCACTATGCTTTATACCAAAATGATAAATTCTAATCTAAACATCGGTGTGGCTAGCACCACTCCAATATATAATCTTTTTATTTTTACACAGGTTCGGTCGAATCCTTAGAAGAGTAATGCTTTTCGAACATTATTCATACCAAAATTAGTAATTTATGTATAAACAATTTATATCATTGTTTTTCGAAGCTTCCATCAACAATTTCCTAAACTTGAGATATCGACATTTCTATTGACATTGATATTTCTATTGACATCAACATTTCGAATCTCCCAGTTTAATTGAATCTTGTTAAATTTTAAGGGGGTGTTTGGTTGGCTATTTTCAAAATAGGGTGTAGGGTTTGTTAAGACAAACTAATGTTTGTTTTACAGTTTTATAAACTCAAGTTTGATACAGTAAATACTATACCACAAGTTTCTAGATAGTAAATACTACCCTACCCCTAGTTCGCTATAGTAATTTATCACTACTTCCCCAAGTTGCTACAATATTTTATCATTACTCTTTTGAATGGCTACATTGTATATTTTATCTTTCATCTCCCTTCTAAGATGCAATATTTTTTCATAAAAATATATTAGCCAAATAAGAAAATTAATTAATTATAATTTTAATAATAAATAAGTAAATGAATTTAATTAAAATTGCAAGTAATAAATTATTAATTCATATATTGACAACAAAAATTTTAATCGTAAACTTTATGAGTGAAGGCTAAAATTGAAAAATGAAGAAATTAGTCAAATCGAGTTAATTCGATCGATTGGAACCATAACGATAACTTAGTTCAATATCCTTAATCTTATATGTCAACTTTGACAAAAACCAACCTAACCATTTCATTTATATCTATTATAAACATCATGTTCTAGAGAAATCATAATAATATACAATAATTTTTTTTGTAATATATACCATAATATATGTACACACTTTAGTTATTACACTTCGAAAAATATTTTAAAAAAATAAATAACGAAACTAATTAAATGTTACAATAATTATTAAAAAGAATTTAGCTAATAATTCTATTAAAAATAAATTATTCATAGTCAAAATATTAATGGCTAAATAAATATTATTACATTTTTAATCACATATATATAAATAATCTAAACTGTTTTATTTTAAATTCAAAACTCAACAAACATCCTACATCTAACAAGTTGATTTCTCTAAATCTACAATTTTATCAAACTCTTTTACTAGTGCAATGTAAAAGTTAAATTAGCTAGTTAATTAGAGAAATATATTTTATACCATGAATGAATTTAACTATTTTGATTAGTTTGTGTTGAAGTTAATAACTTATAAATAATTATTATTTGAAATGTGTGAACATTTTAATCAGATGTATTGGCTATGTAAAACAGAAAAAAGGAAGTTCAGTTTAATGGAAATTTTGATTGTAATGAGTAAATAAATTACAAGAAATGAGTAAAATTAAATAAACTATTGATAACACTTATTCTGTGATAAATTACTTGGATAAATTTGTATAAAATAATTATTGAAGCAAACAAATGTATTAATTTTTTATTGATATTGAAAAATATACTTTCTAAAAAATAAAAATTTTAATTATTTCAATCAAAATATTTAATAATATGAACTATCTATTATTTGATAGAAATTCAAAATCTACCAATAAACATGGTTTTAATAAACAGCGGATCCATAATTTTCCTTGAGGGTTTAATATAAAATTCACTAAACATGCTTAACAAACTTGGTCTCGAACAAAATAATTATAAATTGTGGATCTAGAACTTTATGTTTGGGAGATTGTGTAAAAATAATTCCAACACATTGATATGCATTTAGGTTATATATTTTGATAGTAAATTGGTTAATTTTAAATTTCTTTTCCTAATTTCTTTTCCTTAATTAAAAAAATTCTAATAAATTAAACTTTCAATTTTGCGTCTAATAAGGTTTTTGAACCAATAGATTTTTATTTTTTTTGAGTGAATATGTACTAATAGATTGTTGAACTGATAGACACAATAATACAACCTAGAACAATCTTGTTCAGAAGGTCATTTGAACCAATAAGAGGCAAACATGTGGAGGTGAGTGGAGGAAGAATAAAAAAAGAGAAAGGTATTGCAACTAATAAATAGTTGCTCGTGTTTTTGTTATATCCTTACCATCAATATAAAATTGAAAGTTTGATGATCTATTAGATGCAAAAATGAAAGTTACGTGTCTCATTTGATAATTTTTTAAAGTTTAGGAACCTATTAAACACAACTGTCAACGTTTATGAACTAAACTTATTATTTATTCAATTAATTTTGTTCGATGAGACATATAATAAAATTTTCTAGGTAAATATAGAAGATAAATAATGAACTTGCAATAATAAATCAAAATTTCTCTTTTTATAAGAGTTATAGAAATTTTAATCAATAAATTATTAAAAATAGTTTATTGAAATTAAAAATAATTTTTTATTCATTTTCACTGGTATTTAACACTAAAAAAATATCAATTTTTTAAAGAACTAAAAAGTTTATAAGCATAATATCACTTGAGATTCTTTTGATAATTAAAGAATGGTTGTTAAAGAAAAATAGTAAAAATTAAAGAAAAAGAATACTAACTTTATAACATATATATTATTTTATGTATAATATTATTACAGATTTTTTCTCATAACTAAATAATCGTTATTTATAAAAAATGAGGAACAAATACATTTTTGAGCTGGGCGTCTATTTGGTCACCAAGATTTTAAAATAGACATTTTGGTCACTAAGATTTTAAAATAGACATTTTTAGTCTGTGAAGTTCAGAAAATAAGCTTATAAATGTTATAAAAATAGTACACGAGGGTGGGAGATTCAAATCTTGAACATGAGGGCTTGAGTGCTAATGACCACTAGAGCAGTAGACGATTTTTCAACAAATTTGACACAACATATATATTAATTGAATACTTTCTGAAATTGAGGGGGCTTGAGCTTCCTCTGGGTCCAACATGTATCCGTCCTTGTTAATATCCTTGTTAATAAACTTAAGTTTAACAAAATAGTATTTAAACAAGGACTATTTTCTACCAACGAAAAACAGGTTTAACAAACCTAATTTTTGTCAAAATCAAATAAGACTTAACAACTTATACTTAATAAATTCAGGTTTAACAAAACTCCTCAAACCTAAGGACCAAACATCTACAAAGGTGGGCTGAGGACCAAACACCCGATAAAGGTTAAAATCACACGAGATTTTTTTTTTTACAAAAATCCACACGAGATTTAAAAAGGTACTAAATCTGTAATTTTATTTGGTTCCATTATCGAAACAACTAAATTTTGGTGGAAAGAAGTCGTATTACTACCTTACGCCTAAAGCCTGAATTTCAAAGTAGAAGCTCACACGGTGGGGTTGAATGGAACGCTATTCCATCCAACGCCTCAGCCTTTTCTAGAAAAAAGCCACGTAAGCCAAAAAGCCCTGCTCCCCAGAGGGAGCACGCACGTGACCGGCAACTACCGGTAACGATCACCGCCACGTGTAAAAG